AGAACTAAAAAAGAAATAAAATAAAATAATAATAAATAAATAAATATAATAAATAAAAAAGAAATAGAAATTCATTAAAATATGCAATGCAAGTAATATACACATACGACAAGTCCCGAACACCCTCTTCCACTTCTCCCTTTGCTAAATGGCATTGTGCTCTAGTTAACCTTAGACGTGGAGAATGTGGCGAAATTTTTATCGCCTTGAAAATGTTTTCTATACACGCATCATGACTCTCAGACTTAATAGCGTCTTCAGCTGTATTTATATGGGTCTCTGCTGAATTAACTGATACAAGCTATTTTTTTTTGTGAAATAATTATTAGCTACTTATTTAATTAAATACAAAATACGTTAATTGGAATGAACATATACCAATTTTTGACCTTCAATATCTTGTTCGTTTTTTTGTAGGTATTGTTTCAAATCGGCTTTAGCTTCACTTAATGATCCTTCCTTTATATATATTTTAGCACGCTGCAACAGTGCCTAATATCGAGAAAATATAAAACCAGTTAATAAATATTAATAATAATTATTATTATTTTCTATTTAGAGATAAATACTTTATCAAAATCAGGCTTCAATTTTAATATTGTAGTAAAGTCCTGAAGGGCAGAGGAACTTCTTTCTAAAGCCAAGTACGTTAAAGCACGCTTAAAATAATATAAATAGTCATTTGGATTTTGATCTATAGAAAGGAGGTACGTATATGTTAGCACGCCATAAACCGTGGTCAAGGATCTTTGAAAAAAGGTAACTTACTAATAGCGGCAACAAAGCTTTTCACAGCTTCGTCGTACTTTTGGTCAGCAAAGAATTCATTCCCTTCGTCAAAATATTGTTGTGCCGACTTGTCACAAAAAACAATTGAAGTTGTGGACAAGAATAGTGGAAGGAACGCAAAGACGAAACAATGAATTTTCATAATCTTTGTCTATAAAAAAATCAATTCTACTGTAGGTTGTTAAAGGGAATAGTATGGCCAACAAAACAGGAAGGTGAACAGGTGGTGAAGAAAAATTAAACAAAAGACATGAAACCGCCGGAGTTCAACAGCTTCGTTATATAGTAACATAGCGTAAAACAGGTTTTGGATTGTAACCATGTTTATATTCCAATTTTTTTTAATGTGGAAAATATCGATTGGTTGCAATTTGGCATAAAAGTATTGGCTATGAATCCGAGCTTTCCAGGACAATCCGGAAATGATCTAAAATCACGATCAAACAATAAATGTAGCTACATTAAAGTAATTTGAATTACTGTATCGGTATTATTACCATTGAGAGCTTTCTATATATAAAAAAAATAGATCCAAAGTGCTAATACTTTCTGTATATAGTTAACGTTAAATATATATATACAATTTTGTAAATTAATTACGTACGTACAGTACGTACGTACATACGTATTAAAGACGATAATATACTTCTAATTGTTCTGAAATTTCTTTGATCACAGTGATGAGGCGCCAATTGAAAGTATATATTTGTTAATTTTTAGTTGCATTGTAAAAACTATTGAATTAAGTTGCTTGCTTAAGTATTTATTAAACCTAATTTTTTTTTTTTTTTAAGCTTTGCCTTGATTGTCAGGTAACAATTACAAATTTGCGATTCTGATCTTACTAAAACTAATTTTAATACTGTATATTAGCCAAATTTAATAAAGAGGATTGCTAATCTTAAACGGGGTGGGAAATTTGCATCTATATAGTGATCAAAGATTTTTCGTGATATACTTTACAGAAACATCAACTTTATTACTGTATTACTTGCGATTAACTACAGTATATAGTTACTTTATAGTTAATTGCAAGTAGCATTAATACAAAAAAAGGTATATATTTGCAAATTAAAAAAAAATATATTTTACTGCATTAAAATTAGGGATGTTATCTTGCTTCGTGTAGTATAAAGTAATTTTTCAAATATATAGCTTGTTAAAAATAGATTAATTTCTTGTACAAGTAACTTTATTCGAAAGGATATTAATAACAAATTTAAACGAATAATTGCTTCCAAGCAATTTTAAGCAAATTGGTTTCCTAAACAGAGTTTCTAAGCATTAAAATGATAATACCTACTTCATATTGACCTGAATTACTGATTGCTATTAATAAAGTATATATATTCTTAAAGCCGTCGTTTAATTATTTACATATCGAGAAGTAATCATAGTAATAATGAGCAAATCTCATTAAGCAGATTTGAGCATTTTAAGCAGGATAACATCTCTAATTAAAATCTATATATAAAAAGTTAACTATATTTAAAACAATAATTATAAATCACTAGTGATGCTTAACACCATATAATTTTTTAAAGTAATTATTGCCAATCTTTAAGGTTAAGGTTAAAAATTAGAATAAAATTAGAGATTAAAAATTAGAACTAAAATAAAATTGATTTTTTTGAATGCTAAACATTTTACTTAGTACGTATATCCAGCCTTGGTTATTTAAACAGTTTTTGAAATACAATCACTACTGGTGTAACTTTACAATGTAGATAAATAAAGTAGACAAATAATTTGATATTGCCAGAGTTTAGAATAGATTGATTTACAGATTTTTTTAAAATTATATTTGTGTTGGTTATATAAAAAATTAAGATACTATATAGCATTCTAGAAAATTGTTCAAATTAATTTTTTTACAAACTTGCCTATTTTAAATTTTGAATACTAAGTTATAAAAAAAAATTTATTTTATTTTTATTTTTTTATAAAAAAAGTATTATTAGATTAATGCTTATTATAGAATAGGGTTTTTATAGATTACAGATGTTAACTATTGATTTAGTAATTGTAAATAAAATCTTAAAGTTTACAAGAAAGTAATGTTCTATTATAGCGAGTTAATGTATATATAGATAATGTATTATAATAGATAACTGGATAAGTTGGCAAAAAGATAGTAGTCTAGGGGCTTGCTCTAACTACAAGTGCAGAAATGTTGGCGTTGGTTAATGCTATTACGTACGTACGTACGTACATTGCTCTTTGTTAAATCTTTATAACAGATAACTAAAATATACAATCTCAAAATATCTGATACGTACGTACGTACGTACGTCGTACTTATGTATACGTCAAACAGCCAAAAAAATATATGTACGTACGTACGTGTGCATAAATCATATGTCTTGACGTGTTTCAAGGCATATAAAAACTATAATTAGATTGTGGATATAGAAAGCTTTAATACGTAGACATATAAAATAGATTTAAAACTGTAATAAAAACTGGAGAATTTGAAAACAAAAACCAATACGTATAAGGGAGAGGGGGGTATTATGACGCAGGTGGGTATTGTGACGCACTCGTGTTTTTTTGATGATATCTCGTGATACACTGATCAGGATTGAGTAATTTTGGTATAATTCGGTTCCTCTTACTGAGACGA